TATAAGGCTGGTACTTTGCTCTCATGACGTCCGTCGTCTGCTTCTGATTGTCTTAGAAGCAGCATCAACAACAATGTTCCAGTAAACCCCATCGACAATTGGTCAAGAGGAATTCGCCGTCGTCCTCTTGTGGCATCGAACTTCAAATCTCTTCACCAGACACTTACTCGAAATGAAAGTGAGCCCAACAGACATAAGTGAAAACCAATGACGACTCCCACATGGTAACGAGTGGAAAGGACTCGAACTAAAGGCCTCCATGATGGTCGTCGAATTTCACTGCAAAGAGAGCCTCATCCAAGTTACACATTTCGGAGGGACTCGTGTATTTATTAAGTTATATTCAATGTGTGTATCATTTATTATTTAATTAGAAAATTGTCATTGCTTTCATACGCATCCTTGCTAATGAAAGCAAAAAGCATACAAAGATAGACATTCACTTAGCGTTTACATACAGCATTGAGACAATAGCCGATGATACGCGAAGCAAAGTTGGGTTTCGAGGAATCGCGTGAAAGTGTTTGGTAAAGAGATTCGAAGTCCGATTCTACTGGAAAACGACGGCGCCGACCGGCTGTCTATTGGCTGTTTCTGAAGATGTTCGTCATATGACGAACGAAAGCTAATACCGTTTTCGCCGGAATCGAAGCAGATCGCCTTGGGTACAACATCAGTGTGATTAAGAAAAGGCTGGCCCTCGTCTTTTGGTAAATCAACCTTCCAGTCTCTTTGCCACACACTTTCACTTAAAGGTTAAGTGAGCACAACAACTATAAACCAAGCGATTCCTCAAAACTCTTCTCCTCTTCGCATAGAACTTATCCACTCCAGGTCACCTAAGATGACTTGAGGATGGATCGTGAAATTTTTTCACACTAGATACCATTGAATTTCATTCAGCGTTGTCTCCCAGAATACTTCCTCTTCCCTGTTGGGCTCTAGGCCCTTCCTACTTCCTATTGTCAAGGCGTCTCAAAATCGGGTTGTCTGTGTAAAGTGGCAACACACGAACTACTAAAACCTTCCATAATTCGCATTTTGTAGTGGTATTGCTGATGATGCAAACATACTACTTATATGCCTACTTATATGCCAATTGTTAGTTGAGATAAAAAGCTGCCTGCTTCACCAGTTCTAACTGCTAACAGAATTCACTTTGAAGCTAATCTGGTCATGTCGTAACGTCTTCTTCTTGTCACATCGAAACCTTGACTGTGTGTCTTTCCAGACGGTTCGCCGGTCCTGCAGTCGGCGTCGCCGACCTTACAAGGCGTCATACTCAACATCAATTTGCACAACGGCAAGAGGAGTGACTTCACCCGTAATTCGGACGGCCCACTGCTGAGACGAGACATGGCAACACCGACAGAGGTCCCAGGCCATGGGTATTCCGAAGCAGTCCGACGAAATGACTAAATTGCATGTCTTTTATGGTACATTTTAGGCAAAAATTCGCTTCTGTATCGGACACTGCCAAAGAGGCCAGCGTTTTGTTAGGAAGTCAGACCTTATAGCACACAAGTTGGTTGCAAAGCGTGCTAAACGTGACCAATGCTAAACGAATAAGATCTACTTAATAGGAAAGGCTACTGTTTACTGAACATAAGCCTTTTTGATAGATTCATGGAACTTCATGAGGGAAGACAAACAAAGTCGAGTTTGCGGACACAAGATGTACACAATCTTGTGTGAAGGGAATTGCTCGCAATTTTAGCAAAGCCCCTCAAAATCGCCAACATTGCCAGAAATCGGTAGTGCATCCAGACGACATTGCCACAGAACAGGCTTTTGAC